AAAGATGGAGGGATAATTTGCATACACAGGCACCGAGCTGCTGGGGGCAGGTGTTCTGCACCGGCTCAGCCACTCAGGGCCTCTGGGCAGCATGGGAAGGCAGAAAGAGGGCTCCGGGCTGGAGTGAAGGCAGTGCCGCCGGCACCCAGGGTAAGGAAGGCCCATCTTGCATGAATCTCCATGCATCGGGCCTCCAGTTTTATTATATAAGAAAGGATGTAAATGAATAATATTTTCCAAGAGTCTATCCTACAGGAAATACATGGTGCCCTCTGAGAGCCTCACACATTTAAACATGGCATTGAGCTTTTGCTCCTTTTCACCAGTAAGAGATTTTAAATGCTCAGTATCTGGTGGGCAACCACAGAATTTGCTCAGCGTGGGTCTCCTGTCCGCTGTGAGGAAGGTAAAACCGATCTGTTTGGTGTTGTTTATTACGGAGTTGAAGTGACCGTCGTTGCCTAAGGTGTTGGTGTAATCATTAACTGGAGGGGAAGTGGTTAGGGTAATGGAGGTTTCTGGTTTGGCCCAGAACTGGGAATTAAAAAAGATCACATAGAAGGACTGTCTAGACTAGGGGTGTCGAACTCAATCAGAGAAGGGGCCAAAATCTAAAATCCAGCCTAAATCGCGGGCCGAATGGTTTACTGAACAGTCATAAACTGTCATTGTGATGAAAACGCAGCGGAGTGCAGTGATGACAGCGCGTGCGGGCCACATTGCAAGGCCTGGCGGGATGGATTTGGCCCGCGGGCCTTGTGTTTGACACATGTGGTCTAGACAATACAACTTTTGTGGATTGGGATTACCCATTTTCAATAATGAGAGACGTTATTTACTTTCATCAGTTTGGCCGCAGAAGGAAAACAAAACCAAAAATGTCACCAGTGTGACTCGGGGGGGGGGAGGCAGCATTCTCTTTCCAGAAAAGTCCCAGTTTCCATAACCCCCCATCTCCTCGGGGAAACAGGGGTGCGGAAACACTGAAAAGCAGTCTGCCTTGTCCTACACGTAGTCGATTCACCAGCCCAGCTACAGGACTTCCTTCAGAGATGGTTTCCACACCAGCAACTGATTCTGCACACACATCCCCGCTGGAAATGGAGATCGCATTTTACCGAGAAATAAACGAACTCCCATCCAATTACCGAAGAGTTTCCCGGAGAGTTATGGGCCCCAAATAGAACTATACGTGGGCCACCTAATTCTATCCGACCTGCCCTGAGGTTGCCCTTCCAAGACTCAGCCCTGAACCCCCGGGGTCCGCAGACTTCGGGATGGGGACATCCAGTCGCATATTTGCAGCCCTGACCTTTTGTCTGAGCTCCAGGCCTGACCTTTACCTTTCGGCTGGGTCTCTCTGATTTCCCAAAGCACAGCCCTATCAGATCCCCCTTCAGACTTCCTCCTTTATTTCAGCTGAGTCTCCCTCCGAGGCCTAAACGCCTGGCATCACGCCAGATTCCTCCAGCGGGTCTATTCACCGCTCCCTTCTTAATCTAATCAGTAGCAAATTCTTGCCAGATCACTCCTTTTCATCCTTCCCACTCCCACCCCCTGGCTTACCTCATTTCTAATCCAGACCTTTATCTGCCTCATACTTACCCTATCACAAGCCAGCCCCCCAACCAGAGGCTTCTGCCAGTCTTGGGCTCTTTCACGCCAGATTCGCCTCTGCGTTCTGCCCGGCCCAGTCTTTCCATCAGCGTGCAACCTCCGCCTGTCTGCTCTGGAGTCCTGTCTGCGCCCATCTCTGCCCCATCCCTTTCATTAATGTCCCCTTTCCTCCTAGGTCTCTGATGGGACCTCCCGGACAGCCCCAGTTCACAGTAACTCCTCCCTTATTCCACTCTCTGAATTCTTCTGAGACCAGGCCTTACGTAGGAGTCCGTGTTGTTCTTTACAGTTAATGCTTGTCCCCGTCTCCAGTGACGTAAGCAAGCGGCTTTCTGCACCTCGCTTTCAGACGAACCGTACCGTATCCTGGGAATCTTTCCTTATCAGCGCGTGTATGTTTATCTGACGCTTTTTAAACGCCTGCTGAGTACGGACGTGCCATAATTCATTTAACCAGTGCCTTGCTGATGGACACTGGTGGTGTCTCCAGCTTTGTTATTATCAGACATGCTGCAGTGAACTCCCTTGCACATCTTGAGAAAGGTTAACTCTAAAATCAATAATAAAAAAAACAACACATTTTTAAAAAGCATGTATGTGCATCTTAAATTTGCGTAAGCATACCTAAATTACCTTTTGAAATAATATTCACTGTCCGCCCCCCTTTTTGATATCACTAATTTTCCTGCCACCCAGATTTTGGGCACTGACAAAGGGGAACTTTGTTTAAGGGCTGTTCATTTCCACCCAGAATTAGGGGAGAAAAATGTGAAGCAAGAGAGAAGGGAATTGAAGGTCAGAAAACACTCTCGGTAGCTAGTGTCTGCCGCCTCCACAGACTGCGGGGCCCTGGCCCTGTGTTGGCAGAGTGCACCGGCCATCTTCCTCTGCCAATGATGGACGGAATGTACCCAACTACCAAAAAGGAATGATCTTCATGCTTGTTTTGTTTTGACAGATATGCACACGAAGGAAACGAGACTCCATTGTCTGAACCATCAGGAACTGTGGGAAGGGATGGACGTGGAACCTGTGAACTCGGAGCTGCAGGGTTCAGACCTGTTCCAGACAAAGAAGTCTCCGGAGCAGCCACTCCCCGCGCTGTCCTCCTAACTGCCTTTGTGCGACCAAATGTTTCCTGTGCCCGCCCGAGGGAGGGGAGAGCCGGCTCCTGTTTTAACTGCTTGAGAGTTCTGTTTTCCCGTGTGGCGTTCCTGTGCGAAGCCTCAGGATTTATGGAACAATACACGCCATTTACTCGCGGCGTGCTACTTGGGATTCCCCGGCGGTGTTTGGAGTGGGGTAAAACTATGTAGCGGAAAGCTCATCAAATTTGAAATTACGCCGAGAAGTACTGTGCTGCGACTCGTCCCAGGGAAACAAATCAGATTGTGGCGACAGCAGCGAAGTTCCTTAAAAATAAAAATAGTAGTATGTGGACATTTTCGGATGATGCATGTTTTCTCATTGTTAGGGGTCAGGGGGCCTGAAAGCAAGGAATGAACCGGAAGGGTCTGTCGGGTTGCTAGTGATGTTATTAGTATACTGTCACGCACATGTTGACGATGCTGTAATTTAGACGAATTAACCTCCAGCATTCATTCAGAAGTCCCACCTACAAGGAGGCCGCATCTCAGTGGGGACCGGGAGACTTGTCACCTCTTGATGGACGGAGTGGGCAGAGGCCTGGCTCAGAAGGTGGCGGCCACTCTTTCCCAGGGCCCAGCGTAGCTTCCCGGTGTGAAAGCCGAGCCCAAAGAGAGAAAGGGAGCGAGCTGGTCTGGGGTGACTCTTCCCCACCCCAATCTGGGCACGCCCAGCGTTCCAGAGTTCAGGTGGTCTCCAGGCAGCTCAGGGCAAATGCAGCCACTTCTAAGACCCTGGTTAGAAGAGGCAGGTCCAGTTCCCGCTGCAGGGCAACTGCCCCAAGCTGGGCCCTTCCTCCATCCTCCCCAGGACCACCCTCCTGACCCCTTCGGGTGGGCCGCAGGCACCCTGACCGCCTGGGGACCCAGCGCCAGTCCAGTCCACCATGGGCCTTGGTGAATCTCACGCACTAGCCCCTGCAGGAATGAGTCCAGGCGGGGAGGTGCCGTCCTCACTGACCACTGGCAGGACCCGCACCAGGAGTGGCTGAGCTCAGGAGAATATGAGTGGGCGGCGGCGGTGGTGTAGACCTGCCCAGGAGGAGCTTGGGGCCTTGCAGGCTGGCCCCTGTAAGGTTTGAGGGCAGTCGTAATGAGTCCCGCTCATTCCTGGAGAATAAACTTTACTTTAAAATACCTTGGTGGTCAGTTTCCTGCGCCTCAAACCTTACACCCCCAAGACGGAGGGGCTGGGGGGCGCTGCATGCTGTGCCCAGGCCTCGCCAGTCGTCCCCGCGCCCGGTGTCCGGCCGCTGCTCCGCGCTGACCAGGCCTCGGCAGCTGCGGGACAAACCGGAGCCGGGGCACAAGGAGCCCGGTCCTCCAGGGGCAGCGGGGCCTGGAGGCCTGGCCTGCGGCCGCCCCGGGCTGGCCCCGGGCTCGCCCTCGCCTCCGGGGCCTCCTCGGGCTCCCGGGCCTCGGCGGGGCCAGGCTGGGGGACTTCCCCGGGCCTGGGCGGGACGGAGGGGCTGGACACCGGACACGTCCCCGTCCAGCCGTCCGAAGCCCTGGACGCCGAGCTGGCGGCAGAGGGGCGCACGGCCCGCGGGGAGGCTGGGGGCGTCGGCGGCGGGGAGATCGGGGTGGGATCGGGCCGCGGGGGGCACTGCGGACCGCGGGGCCCGTTTCGGGGTCCGTTCGGCGCCGCGAGGCCGCGGCGGCTCCGGGCTGAGGTCACGGGCCGGGCGCCCTGCGGGGGCCCCGGGGCGGCGGCGCCCGGACGCGCTCTGGCCGCTGCGCGCTCTCGGCCGCCGCCCGGGCCCGCCCTCGGGTCCGAGGGGGGCTCGGGGCGCGGCGCGGGCCCTTTGTGCCCTCGGCGTCGGCCGGGCCCGGGCCTGTGCCTTTTCCTTCCGCAGGGAGCGACTCCCCACCCCTTTCCTCCGCGGCCCTGCGCCTTCCCGGAGCGGAGCGCGCTCCTCCGCAGCCCCTCCCGGCCCCCGAACTCCAAGCCCGCGGGGCGCCGGGCCCGAGGGGGACACCGGGGATCCCCGAGGGAGGGAGCGAGCGAGCGGGCAGCGCCTTCCGGGCCCCTCCGCCCTCCGCCCTTCCCCCTCCCCCCTCCCCCCCGGCCCGCGCCCCTCCCCCGGCCCGCCCCGCCCCGCGCCCGGCAGCGGCGGGGTTAAGCCCTGGAATGCGGCGGCGAGGAATGTGCATGCAGATGAGCCGGGCGGGGCGGGACGGGGGCGTGGCCGGGGCGGGGCGAATGCAAACCGCACGCAAATCGCATGCAAATGAGGAGGCCCGTCGCCGCCGCGGCCGCCGCTCCGCCGCGCTTCCCGGATCCGAGCCCCAGACGGCGGCGGCGGCTCCGGCGGCCCGGGCACCGCGACCCCCGGCGGCGCGGGGGGACGGGCGGAGGCGGAGGCGGAGGAGGAAGAGGAGGAGGAAGAGGCGGAGGCAGCGGCGGCGGCCGCGCGGCGGCCCCGGGGGAGGAAGAGGAGGAGGAGGAGGGTTGGATCGCGGGCTCCCGGCGCAGCCATGGTGGACTGATCGCCGGCGGATCCCCGGACTGATCGCCGCCGAGGCGCCCCCCGCGCGCGGTCCCCCCGCGCCCCGCGGCCCCGCGCCGGCGCCCGCGGCGGGGGCGGCGCCCGGGCCGGACAGGCAGCCGCGCCCCCGCCGCGTCCCGCGCCCGCCCGGTCCCTATGGAGGCGCCGCCCGCCGGCCAGGCCGCCCACCATGCCTAGGAGGGCCGGCAGCGGGCCGCTGCCGCTACCCCGGGGCTGGGAGGAGGCCAGGGACTACGACGGCAAGGTCTTCTACATCGACCACAACACGCGCCGGACCAGCTGGATCGACCCCCGGGACAGGTGGGCGGCGGCGCGGGGCGCGGGGCGGGAGGGGTCCGGGGAGAAGGCGCGGGAAGGTCCGCCCGGCCGGGCACTGGGGAGGAGGGCCTTCGGGTTCGCCTGTTCCGGGGGGTCCCCTGGCCCCCCCACCTCCCGATGCCCCCCAGGACCTCCGGACACGGCGGGCGCCGCGGGCTGGCCCCCGTCCGGCTAACGGGCCACCTGAGCCCGCGCCGAGCTCCCGGCGTCGGAAGTTGGCCCCGGGGAGGCCGGCGGGCCCCTGGGCCTGGCGGAGGGGCCGCCCTGGGCCCGGCGGAGGCCTCGGTGGAGGGGAGCCCGCCGGCCCGGCCTCCGGGGGCCTCTCCCCGACGTCCTCTCCCCGGCGGCCCGGCTCCCCACCTGGAGGGGGGCCTCGGACGGTCAGCCCCCGGCGGTGGGTGTCCCTGGCCCTGCCCCTCGGATTGTGGGAACGTTTGTTGGTTGCCTTCACCTGAGCACTTGAACGGACTCCAGACCTCGGAAAGGCGGATTGCTTTTTTGCAGCGAGAAGGGGTGGAATGAATACCGCCCTGAGCCTGGGCTCCAGGAGGATTCTCCCAGGATTTCCTGTCGTTACCAGCTCACACTTCCATCCCCCTGGGAGTGCAGGGCAGAAGCGTGGCTCAGTCAGAGGTTCAGGAGCTTCAATGTAGCAGAATGTCCACAAATGTTACTCCTCTGTCCCATCGTTATTATTATTATGATTTAAATCCTTAAAAGGAAACTTTTTTTGTTTGTGAATCCTCACCTGAGGATATTTTTGCCTTTTGCTATGCTTTTCTCATAGACAGTGGAAAGGAGGGTGGGAGGGAAAGAGAGAGAGGAAAGAGAGAGAGAGAGGAGAGAGAGAGAGAGAAATCACTGTGAGAGAGTCACAGCCACTGGTTGCCTCTTGCACGACCCCTCCCCCCCACTTGACCGGGAATCGAACCTGTGACCCTTTGGTGCGCAGGCTGACCACTGATCCATATGGGCCAGTGCAGGAACTTCTATAGCTAGAATTATTATAAGAATACTATGAGATACTCCGAATTGTAACCTTGTAATTTGCCTATGAGGGGTTATTTCTAATAGTGATTTTAAATAATAGATGTATTTATTTATTAGGGATAACTCCTAACATTTCTGGAACTTCTCCCCCCAGCTCTTTATGGAATGTAGCCTTCAGGATTGATCACCTTTTCTAGGTGCTTCTACCAAACATGACCTTTTTTTTTTTTTTTTTTTTCCAAACTGAAGCTGAAATCGTTTCATACTTGCTATTCCCTAGTTCCTTTTATCCTAAGACTATTGTTTTCGGAAGCGATCACAGAGCCATCACAGAAAGTCATAAATTACATTATAAATGTATGGGGCAGTCCTTGCTGAATTATCCATGAAGGCATGGGTGTCGGCTTCCCTCCGGAGGAGAGGCAGGGAAGGCAGCTGTGCGGGAGCTCTCCTGGCCACCGCCCGGCCGCCCGCTACCCGCCCCCGAAAGTGATGGCCAGCACCCGGCCTCCCGGCGCCCCCCCCCCCCCCCCCAGACAGTGCTGTGGCCATAAACCGCCCGCTCCGGGTCAGGGGTTGCGCTTTGAAACCACCTAACGGATAGCAATTGTCCGAATGACGGTGGCACCCAACAGCGTCTTGTTAAGGCACCTGTGTAAGGATCTGACCTTGACAGTTACGCGGGAGTTCTTTCTGCTTTCCGATACGTGGAGTGTCGGGTTATTGAAATGGCAGTGGGTTCTTGACATATTCAAGCATGTCAAGCTCTCTTCGGCTTCCGTTCCCACGTCTTCTTCTGTCCTCTTATTTGTGTTTACCAACAAGGGTTATAAGAATATGTGCCGAAACCGGTTTGGCTCAGTGGATAGGCTGTTGGCCTGCGGACTGAAGGGTCCCGGGTTCGATTCCGGTCAAGGGCATGTACCTTGGTTGCGGGCACATCCCCAGTGGGGTGTGTGTAAGAGGCAGCTGATTGATGATTCTCTCTCATTGATGTTTCTAACTCTCTAGCCCTCTCTCTTCCTCTCTGTGAAAAATTAATAAAATGTATTAAAAATTATCAAGAATATGCAATGCCTGGGTGAAACCAATAAGAAGTGGAGGGAAATTAAGTGAGACAGCTTGGTTTATCCATGTTACTACGTCTCAGACACGCTCTGCATGTCTGTTATTTTAAACCGCTCTTAGATTACCAGTGATTAGGAACCGTGTTTTCAAGGAACTGGGCAACCAGTTCATGTGATGGAGGTGAGCCGTTTTGACTAAGATGACTTATCCTTCCAGCTTTCTTGGAGTGATTGGATTTTTAAGTATTTTTCAGTCTGACACATTATTTCTGGATCTCAGTATCCGAGTGCTAAAAGACGATTCCTTGAGAACAGAGTCAACACCGACATATTTGTGTTTCCTTTTAGGACAATGAAGTGTCTGCAAGTCTTGCTAGATAGTGTAAGAGGTATTGGGAGGCCTAGCTGGTTTGGCTCAATGGATAGAGCCATCAGCCTGTGGACTGAAAGGTCCCAGGTTCGATTCTGGCCAAGGGCACATGCCTGGGTTGCAAGCTCGATCCCCAGTAGGGGGTGTGCAGGAGGCAGCTGATCAATCATTCTCTGATTGATGTTTCTCTTTCTCTCTCTCCTCCCTTCCTCTCTAGAATCATATATATATTTAAAAAGATGTGACACAGGCTCCTGGGAGGTGCCGGCTCTTCCACAGGGCCCAGCTCCAGGTCCTGAGAGAAAAGCGACTCGATGCACTGAGGGTCCGCAGTACTTTTGAAGGCTTAAAGCCATTTCATTAAAATGGCCAGGATGATTTATCCAGCCATATTTATGTCAAGAAAAAGGACCTGGTGTTTTTGATGGTCTGTCGGAATTTGAGGTGTTTCTGATCATATAAGTAACTATGCAGATTTCATTGGGGGAACGGTGGGGGACTTCATAGGAACCTTATTTCATCGAACACGTTGTGGTTTTTAGAATACTGAAGTAACATTTTAAAGTACTCTCAAGCCCAGCGAGCGTGCTCCAGTGGTTAAGCGGAGATCCGTGAACCAAGAGGTCCCGGGTTTGATTCCCGGTCAGATGTGTCTCTCTCTCTCATCGCTGTTTCTCTCTCACTATGACTCTCCCTCCCTCGCTCTCTCAAATCAATTAAAAAAACCACGTTAAAAAGTAAAATACAGTATGCTCAAGCGTTTGGAGGTGGATGGATAACGCAGCAGACTGTGGGCGCCAGCGGAGCTTGCTTCGCTCCCCCTGATGGAGTCAGCTTACAGGGGGTTCCGAATCCCTCCAAACCTCCGTTTTCAACTCCAAGGGAAGGTAGCCCGCCGCCTCAGAGGGCCGCTTGGGGGCCCATCAGTAGGGCTGCTCCCGTTTGGGCAGTGAGCGGGAGTTCAGGATCCCTCCGAAAAGAGTAGAAGAAACTCTAGCACGCACTTCTCAGCGCTCACTGTGGGACAGACAGCCACTGAGCTCAGCTCTAACTGCGACCTCCCTCCGGCCCTCCTCTCTCCCAGTCAGAGATCAGGAGGTGGAGTCCCGGGGAGCCAGGGTCTGAAGCCAGGGACAACCCTGTGACCCCCCTTTCCTTCCTCTGGGCTGCTTGGCCCCCTGCTCAGCAGCCCTCAGGTAGGGTGCAGCCTGCCGGCCCAGCTGATTTTCCCGATGGATTGGCCGGTCCGTACTAATCTCTAAAGGTTCCTGCCAACTTCTGACCACCCTGTGACCCCCGCGTTAGCCACACGAAGGGTCTGGTTCACGGATGCCTGGACGTGTGGGCTGGTGGGACCGTCAGGTTGAACACACCAGGAGTCCTGTGTGGGGGAGGAGGGAGGCGCTCTGCCTCACCGCTGAGTGCATCACAGTTTTACTGTGAACGGTCTTGTTGCTGCCCCCCTCGTCCCCTCTCCCTCGTCCTGGGGCAGTCTCCCCATCCTTCATTTCTTCCCCGGCGTGACCCCCCTCCCGAGGGCCAGTCCCCCAGGAGGTCTGCTCCCCGTTCACCCCTGCTTGGCTCACAGGAACACCCTCTGATGGCGCAGTTGGTGTTTATGGTGGGCCATACATCATGGCCAAATGGCCCGGCGCTCTGAAAAACTAAAAGATAAAACTTTATTCAGCACCGGAGGAAAGGTTGGATGGATTCATTGCTGCCTGGAGGAGGACGGGGCCAAGGCAGGCAGGCCTCAGAGAAGGGGTGAACGGTCTTACAGACTCCCAGGAGAATTCTGCCCCCTTCTCTCTGCTTGGATTGCCATTGCCCACGTGGACCGTAACCATAGTAGTTATGGTTACGTTGTGTACTTGAACTTAAAAGATTTGCCACCACACAAAGCGACGGTACCTTAAAAGTTGCCAGTAGGTTGTCTTCTCTGGCTTTCTAATGGGAGGGGAGCAATGCTGGGGGGGGAGGTGACTAGGAGGAAGAGGGGGTCAGATCCGCTGGCGTCATCAGTGACCGAGGCCACTGCGGGCACATGGTTAGGGGGCTTTCCCTTTGGAGACAGTCAAAGCGAGGAGTTTGGCTGACCCTCCTGCCAGCAGCGGTTCTCAACCTTCCTAATGCCGCTGCCCTTCAATACAGCTCCTCTGTTTTCCGTTGGTCTGAGGCGACCCTGCTGGCCGTTCTCAACCTGAGGTTCTCCATCCGGGGCTGAGAACCGCTGCGGTAGAGCCTAAGACCATCGGAAAACACAGGTACTTACATAACGATTCATAACAGTAGCAAAATGACAATTCTGAAGTAGCAACAAAGACAGCTTTATGGTCGGGGGTCACCACCACATGAGGAGCTGTGTGAAAGGGTCGCGGCATCAGGAAGGTTGGGAACCACTGCCCTAGAGTGTAAACTTGAGCCCTACCTGGTTTCCTTCTGCCGCTCTCTGTATCCCCTGTATGGCAGTATTACCTGTGTGCCAGGGATGAAGACATATTCAGTAAACAAAGGAATATTAATGGAGCTACTCTCTTGTTTCCAGTTCTTACTGT